AAATGGAAGAACAGGTAGGGTGGGGGTAGAGTGGATGTAGGATGGTAGTAGAGGTAAAATGGAAGAACAGGTAGGGTGTGGTGGGTGGATGTAGGATGGTAGTAGAGGTAGGATGGTAGTAGAGGTAAAATGGAAGAACTGGTAGGGTGGGGGTGGGGTGGATGTAGGATGGTAGTAGAGGTAGGATGGTAGTAGAGGTAAAATGGAAGAACAGGTAGGGTGGGGTGGGGTGGAAGTAGGATGGTAGTAGAGGTAGGATGGTAGTAGAGGTAGGATGGAAGAACAGGTAGATGGGGAAGGGTGGATGTAGGGTGGTAGTAGAGATAGGATGGCAGTGGAGGTACAATGGAAGAAGGGGTAGGGTGGGGGTAGAGTGGGGGTGGACGTAGGATGGTAGTAGAGATAGGATTGTAGTAGAGGTAAAATGGAAGAACAGGTAGGGTGGGGTGGGGTGGATGTAGGATGGTAGTTGAGGTAGGATGGTAGTAGAGGTAAAATGGAAGAACAGGTAGGGTGGGGGTGGGGTGGATGTAGGATGGTAGTAGAGGTAGAATGGAAGAAGGGGTAGGGTGGGGTGGACGTAGGATGGTAGTAGAGGTAGGATTGCAGTAGAGGTAAAATGGAAGAACAGGTAGGTTGGGGATGGGGTGGAAGTAGGATGGTAGTAGAGGTAGGATGGTAGTAGAGGTAGGATGGAAGAACAGGTAGATGGGGGAAGGGTGGATGTAGGATGGTAGTAGAGATAGGATGGCAGTGGAGGTACAATAGAAGAAGGGGTAGGGTGGGGATAGAGTGGGGGCGGACGTAGGATGGTAGTTGAGGTAGGATGGTAGTAGAGGTAAAATGGAAGAACAGGTAGGGTGGGGGAAGGGTGGATGTAGGATGGTAGTAGAGGTAGGATGGCAGTAGAGGTACAATGGAAGAAGGGGTATAGGGTGGGGTAGAGTGGGGGTGGACGTAGGATGGTAGTAGAGGTAGGATTGTAGTAGAGGTAAAATGGAAGAACAGGTAGGTTGGGGGTGGGGTGGAAGTAGGATGGTAGTAGAGGTAGGATGGTAGTAGAGGTAGGATGGAAGAACAGGTAGATGGGGGAAGGGTGGATGTAGGATGGTAATAGAGATAGGATTGTAGTAGAGGTAAAATGGAAGAACAGGTAGGGTGGGGTGGGGTGGGGGTGGACGTAGGATGGTAGTAGAGGTAGGATTGTAGTAGAGGTAAAATGGAAGAACAGGTAGGGTGGGGTGGGGTGGATGTAGGAAGGTAGTAGAGGTAGGATGGTAGTAGAGGTAAAATGGAAGAACAGGTAGGGTGGTGGTGGGGTGGATGTACGAATCTGGTAGAGGTAGTAGAGGTAGAATGAAAGAACAGGTAGGGTGGTAGTAGAGGTAGGATGGAAGAATGGGTAGGGTGGGGTAGAGTGGGGTGGACGTAGGATGGTAGTAGAGGTAAAATGGAAGAACAGGGAGGGTGGGGTAGATGTAGGATGGTAGTAGAGGTAGGATGGTAGTAGAGTAGAATGGAAGAACGGGTAGGGTGGGGGTAGAGTGGGGGATGGACATAAGATGGTAGTAGAGGTAGAATGGAAGAACAGGTAGGGTGGTAGTAGAGGTAGGCTGGGAAAACAAGTAGAGGGTAGACGTAGGATAGGGTAGACGTAGGATGGGGTAGATGTAGGATAGTAGTAGAGGTAAGATGGTAGAGTGGGTAAGGTAGGGGTAGCTGTAGGATGGTGGTAGAGGTAAAATTGAAGAACAGGTAGGGAAGGGGTGGGGTGGATGTAGGATGGTAGTAGAGGTAGAATGGAAGAAGGGGTAGGGTGGGGGTGGGGGTTGACGTAGGATGGTAGTAGAGGTAGGATTGCAGTAGAGGTAAAATGGAAGAACAGGTAGGGTGGGGGTGGGGTGGAAGTAGGATAGTAGTAGAGGTAAAATGGAAGAACAGGTAGGGTGGGGTAGGGTGGGTGGATGGATGGTAGTAGAGGTAGGATGGTAGTAGAGGTAGAATGGAAGAACAGGTATGGTGGGGTAGGCATAGAAGGGTGGGGTGGACGTAGGATAGTAGTAGAGGTAAAATGGAAGAACAGGTAGGGTGTGGTGGGGTGGATGTAGGATGGTAGTAGATGTTGAAAAAATAGGTTGGGTGGTAGTAGACGAAAGATAGTAGCAGAGGTAGGCTTGAAGAACAGGTATGGTGGGGGTAGGCATCGAAGGGTGGGGGGGGGGGGACGTAGGATAGTAGTAGAGGTAAAATGGAAGAACAGGTAGGGTGGGGGTGGGGTGGATGTAGGAAGGTAGTAGAGGTAGGATGGTAGTAGAGGTAAAATGGAAGAACAGGTAGGGTGGGGTGGGGTGGATGTAGGAAGGTAGTAGAGGTAGGATGGTAGTAGAGGTAAAATGGAAGAACAGGTAGGGTGGTGGTGGGGTGGATGTACGAATCTGGTAGAGGTAGTAGAGGTAGAATGAAAGAACAGGTAGGGTGGTAGTAAAGGTAGGGTGGAAGAATGGGTAGGGTGGGGTAGAGTGGGGGTGGACGTATGATGGAAGTAGAGGTAAAATGGAAGAACAGGGAGGGTGGGGTAGATGTAGGATGGTAGTAGAGGAAGGATGGTAGTAGAGTAGAATGGAAGAACGGGTAGGGTGGGGGTAGAGTGAGGGGTGGACATAAGATGGTAGTAGAGGTAAAATGGAAGAACAGGTAGGGTGGTAGTAGAAGTAGGCTGGGAAAACAAGTTGAGGGTAGACTATATGGGGTAGATGTAGAATAGTAGTAGAGGTAGGATGATAGTAGAGGTAAAATGGAAGAACAGGTAGGGTTGGGGTGGGGTGGATGTAGGATGGTAGTAGAGGTAGAATGGAAGAACAGGTAGGGTGGTAGTAGAGGTAGGGTGGTAGTAGAGGTAGGATGGAAGAATGGGTAGGGTGGGGGTAGAGTGGGGGTGACGTAGGATGGTAGTAGAGGTAAAATGGAAGAACAGGGAGGGTGGGGTAGATGTAGGATGGTAGTAGAGGAAGGATGGTAGTAGAGGTAGAATGGCAGAACAGGTAGGGTGGTAGTAGAGGTAGGATGGTAGTAGAGTAGAATGGAAGAAGGGGTAGTGTGGGGTAGAGTGGGGGATGGACGTAGGATGGTAGTAGAGGTATCATGGTAGAATGGGTAGGGTGGGGTGGACGTAGGATGGGTGAATGGGTAGGGTGGGGGTTGAGTGGATGTAGGATGGTAGTAGAGGTAAAATGGAAGAACAGGTAGGGTGGGGGTGGGGTGGATGTAGGATGGTAGTAGAGGTAGGATGGTAGTAGAGGTAGAATGGAAGAAGGGGTAGGGTGGGGGTGGACGTAGGATAGTAGTAGAGGTAGGATTGCAGTAGAGGTAAAATGGAAGAACAGGTAGGGTGGGGGTGGGGTGTGGAATTAGTAGGATAGTGGTAGAGGGTAGGATGGTATAGTAGAGGTAAAATGGAAGAACAGGTAGGGTGGGGTAGGGTGGATGTAGGATGGTAGTAGAGGTAGGATGGTAGTAGAGGTAGAATGGGAGAAGGGTGGTAGAGTGGGGGTGGACGTAGGATGGTAGTAGAGGTAGGATTGTAGTAGAAGTAAAATGGAAGAACAGGTAGGGTGGGGGTGGGGTGGATGTAGGATAGTACGTCGCACGGCTGGCACTCCTGGCAGAAGGGCGTTAGCTCGAATTTTGGGTCAAAAATCGATTTTTGATATTTCATGTCATTTAATAGAGTTTTCAAAGCTCTTTCAAATGATGTGATCGAGATAGCATAAAACGAAGTAAATGATCACGTAATCGACAATAGTAAAAGGGCGTTAGCACAAACTGGCAGATATCGCGCTAAGCAGAAGGGCGTAAGCCCTCTACGCCCTTTGCAAATTGGGCGCGAGCGTAAATTTTGATCAAAGCAGAAGGGCGTTAATCGCCGTTATCGCGAAGCTGACTGCTTCGTCTTTTAAATAACGTGTTGTAAATGTCAAATTATCTGGAAGATTTGATATATTTGGTCACACTGATTACATTATGATTAGGACTGTAAGAATATTTTGATTTTATCGGGTAAAAATGCGATGTATAATGATGATAATTAATACGTTGCCCCGTGTATTGATTTATATGGTATCACGGACAAATTCTAAGCAGTCATTACGCATTAGCATTGACTCTCTATGCTGTGCTGGGGTGGATGTTGGGTGGCATTGATGCTGGAGTGGGTGGCAATGGAAGCGCTCCCTTGAAGTTGAAGGCCTCCAAATATGAAGTAAGTCTAGGTCTAGCAACAAGCTTCAAGCCTCAAGTCAAGGGTGATGTTCCACGCAGTTACTGTCCCGAGGGAAACATCAGTTCCCGTAGAGAGTTGGGTGCGGGATGTGATGTTGTTCGTGTGATGTTGTTCAGTTAGAGCAAGATACATGTAGGCCTACAGTATGTAGGAGTAGTCGTCAATCTATATGTGCCGTGATAATCATTTCATTGTTTTTTCGCTCTCATGGAAAGACGAGACAAGACAACAATTTGTAAAGACAGTGGTACGGATTGAAATTTGAAAGCATGCTTAGACTAACTTAGAGTAGATCTAGATCTACAAAATTAGTTAGGCCTAGATCTAAATAAATGTCAGATTGTTAGTAGTATACCGTATTCAGGTATTATTATATTAATTGCAACAGTGCAAGCAGATTCTAGACTCTAGAAGTCTAGACCCTAATAGATTATTGTTCAAATTAAATTTGCAAAAATGATAGTACAGATATGAAAGGAGAATGGTTTGAACTTTGATACCTTTGTCTTTTAGTGGCTTTGTTGAAGTTTGTTCAACTTTAATCAAGGGCAATCTCAAATGATAGTTGCATGTCTAGAACTCTAACATTCAACTTAAGTTTCTACTTTCCCGCTACTGGAACTGGGGACGGTCAATTGTAAAGTAGCTTGTAAGTTGGGATTAGATCTACTTTCAGTCAAATTAATGTAACCCTTTTGTTTTCCTCACTTGTTCAGGATTTGCACAGCTAGGCTACAGCATGGAGCAAACAACAGAATTGCTGGTTCAGTGGAAAAAAGATGGCTCCAAAAACGTGGTAGTGTATGGAGATATTCAATGTCCCTGTATTCCAATAAAAGGGACAAAAGTCTTCATGCCTTGGAAAGGCAGGAGATGGGAGGGAGTTGTCCTGGCAGTGGATGATGAGTCTGAGGAAAGTGATGATGACAGCATACCACTTGCTCAACTAATAATTAAAGGTAAGATTTTATGTTGACAAGTAGACTTGTGACAATGCAGAATATGAAAGTGCACAACAAAGTTTTGACAGTCCTTGACCCCGTTTGAGATGGGTTTAATTCTGGTATAACACGCATTTACAATAAACTCCAGCCCGAGATATCTCGGGAATAGTCTTGAACAGGTAAAAGTTCACATTTAAAGAAACTCAAGGGAAAAAAAATTAGGTATATACCTTTACCTTTACCTTTACTGCAAATACTGGAAGAATGCTGAGACAGCAGTCGAGCTTCCAGGTCTATCTTCTTGTACTCATACTCTTTAATAACAATTCTCATATATACAAGAGATAAATGATTTCAAGAAACGTAATATTCATTAGTTTTTAGTGTGTAATTATTTTTTTAAATATTTGTCGTTCATTTATCTGTCATCACACAAAATAAAAGTTATAGTGCCTCCCAACATTTTGGAAGTGTCTTCTCATATTTTTGAAGTGTCTACAAGTTTCTAATGAATTTAAGCAAAATTTAAATTTAAAAACATGAGAATTGTACGTATATTATCTGCTTCTCTTAGTCTTGGCCTTTGAACATTATTGTTTAAGAGTTAGTAGCTTGTTAAACTAAGTTGCTATATAGAGTATAATGATTTCTAAATGAATATTTCTGAATTATTTTCATTGTAGACCATGTACCTCTACCAGATCAACCAAGGCTTGACATTGGAGATGTTGGTGTCACAATGACAGGTAATGTATGATACTATTTATGAAACATTGTTGGCCTACATACTATTCTGTTTGGTTTGATAACTATATGATAGAAATCATTGAACTGAAATGCTATACAGTTTCATGATTTCTGAATGAATATTTCTGAATTATTTTCATTGTACATCATGGACCTCTACCAGATCAACCAAGTGTCGGTAGGCTTTATGATGGAGATGTAAAGCAATGAAAAGTAATGTCACGAAGAAACATTGTTGGCTTACATACTTTTAAAAATGATTTGATGATCATTGTTAGCTTGTATTCATATGCAGTAAGTGCCATTTTTTTATAAAGTTTTCATCAAATTTTCAATTTAGTAAAGTTAAATATATTAGTTATTTAGGCCTATTAATAAACCAGGCTGAGATAGTTGATAAAGTGATATTCAAGTTTTTCTTTGTTTTCTATATTTTTTTAATGTTCTCTTTTAATTCATAGACGTGCCTCATGAAGTTCAGATGTGTGAACATTTCACATGTTTACATGAAGTGTTTAGTACATGCTCCCAGTGTCTTGTTTTCCTGTGTGAACACCACTTCAAAGAGGACGACCCATGTGCAAACCACAATAACTAAGCTGTAAGTTAAACTAATGTAATGTTGATTTCACTAAAAATGCCTTATAAATTATCGTAAAGCCCTTATACAGTAGTTATAGGGTCAAAAAGAAGTTATAAATCCATGATAATTGTTACATCATTCCTTAAGCTGTTTCTGCTAGTTTGCTTCCTTTTTTTGAAGATGTTGCAATAGTCAAAAGTATCTGCCCCCCTGATAATTGTTTAAAATCACAAAAACAATAAAACTGTTAACTTTAACGTCATTGCTGCCATGACAATTTCAGGATATGTTCAAAAAGTTCTCAAAAATGAATGTAAGTGGCACTCCCCTGGTTATGGATACCGGTATATTTAAGTTTTGACTGCGGCAAAGCTGAAAGATGAAGGTATCATGCCAACTATCTTACAAAAGATTACAGTGCTCTCTTTATAATATTATTTCTGGCTACACATATTTTTTTACTACCATAGCATCTACTTCAAATTCCGGAGAGGCTTTCAGAAGATCATCCAGTGATCGACACAGTTCTGGAATTGATGATGGACGTTCCCTTAGCAATCAAAGTGCAGGAGACAGTTGACATAGTTCCAGAGGTGACTATACCAATGTTATCCAAGCAGACAGTGAAGGTCATGGGAGGAGTAGTGAAAAATATTAATGTCTCAAATGTCACCAATTTGAGTTTGTAGTTTACAGTGGGCAATGTCTTTAGGCATTATATGTCAGTTTGTTGGAATTATGCTGTTGCAGACACCTCTACAATATTCATTAATCAAAACAACAACCTTTTAAGCAAACTTTTGAATCATTTATTTCTCCTACAATATTTACTACAAAAATTGGTTTTACATTTCTATGTCATAAAGTTTATTCTTGTGTACTTTACAGAGAGTGGCTTCTGCCTATCACACCATCAATGCTGAAGTGGAACCCGATCTACACAGAGATATTGGAGAACGTCCTGAACAATGTGAGGTAAAAGTCTGAAGCTTTAAAATGGTTGCCTGTTACAAATTCTGCTCAGGGAGTGGAGAATTTTCTTTGACAAAGATAAATGTATTTTTGTTGTACCGGAAAATGGCTGGTGTACAGCTCTTTAGACACAGTAATTGGAATAATTGCTCTACTTCCCTCTGATTGAGGGGTTCTGGGACAAATGACCATGCAGAAGTACTGCAATTTTCTTCTTTCTCCTTCCATCTCTCTCTCTTTCTCTCTCTCTTTCTCTTTCACTCCCTAATTTCTTGATGATGGCTGGGTTTGAATGTGGGATAGGGGAGAGAGTGAATCATTGTATTTTTTAATTAAATCAAGGCAAGAGAGGAGAATCAAAAGGAGAGAAGCATGCCAGCCAGATTGCAAGGTTACAGTCATTTACATTGACTTGCTGCAGTGTTGACTCCTTCATCCTTCACCAGTTCAGAGCATGAATATGTTAAACTAATATTTTGTCCACCACTTTTATATTTTTATTCTAATACAGAATAAGAGAGCCAGGAAACGTTTTGCAGATCCAAACAGCTGGCAACAAAACGTCCAGAGGAAGAATCGCAACCTGGGCCAGGCATATACCTCAAGAGATGGGAAGCAGAGGGAGGTGAGAGAGATGGGTCCATGCTGTCCCAATTCATGTAGGTTCAAATGTTCAGAGAGTATTACTGCAGATGCGAGGGAAAAAATCTTCAAAGAATACTGGGCAACAGGATCTTATGAACAACGAAGAGATTTCATTCGACAGTGTGGGTCAGAAAAGAAAAAGGGGAAAAAACATGGTTCAAAGGAGAAGGCATCACGCATCACCAGAATATATCTCTCCCTATAGACGGTCAGAGAATTGAAGTGTGCCAGTTCTATTTCATTAACACTTTGGCTATCTCCCAGAAGACAGTGCGATACACCCTTGCCCAAAAGGCTAATTTTGCACAAGATGAGAGAGGGCATCATCAGCCACATAATAAAAGCAATGAGGCTGAACTTGATTGTATCAGGGCCCACATCCAGAAGTTCAAAGTTGTCCCCTCTCATTACTGCAGGAGTACGACATCGCGTCAGTACCTCCCTGGCAATCTTAGTGTTAATAAAATGTATGACATGTATGTAAAGGAAACTGTAAATCCTAAATCCCTGACCACATATAGATATGTGTTCAATAGTGAATTCAATTTAGGCTTCCATGTGCCTAAGAAAGATGAATGCAAGAAATGCACAGCCTTTGATAATGCCTCACCAAATGAAAAAGAAGGCTTGAAAAAAGACCAGGATGATCATGTTCACAATAAAATCAAAGCCAGAGAGGAGAAAGAGAAGGACAAGCAGCGTGCAAGCAAGGACGACAGTTTTCAATCATTTACTTTCGACTTACAGCAGGTTTTGTCAACCCCTTCCTGTAATGCTTCCCTTCTTTTTTACAAGAGGAAGCTGTCAACATATAACTTCACGTTATACAATCAAGGAAATGGCAATGGCCATTGTTTCTTGTGGAGCGAGATTGATGGAGGGAGAGATTCTTGTGAGATAGGCTCATGCCTTGTCAATCATCTTGAAGGGCTGCCTGATTGTGTTGACCATGTCACTCTTTTCAGTGATTGCTGTTCTGGGCAGAACAGAAACAAGTATGTTGCTGCAGCATTACTCTATGTTGTACGTACTTCTTCTCTTTCTGTTATTGAGCAGAAGTTTCTCGAATCTGGTCATACGCAGATGTAGGTTGACAGTATGCATAGCTCCATAGAGACGGTCAAGAAGAAAGTCCCTGTGTACCACCCTGACCAGTGGGCAACTATTGCTAGTCTGGCTAGAAGGAAGAAGCCCTATCATGTCACACAACTTCACCATCATGAGTTTGTGGATCTCAAAAGGCTCGCTTCAGAGCTTCTCCAAAATACGGTAAAGGACATTTCAGGTGATCGTGTCTACTGGACCAGAATCAAGCACCTGAAATTTGAGAAGCAGAACCCCCATGTGATGCAGTTTAGGTACTCATTTGAGGAAGAGATGCGAGAGATTAGGGTGTCTTCCTCCCGCAAGATGAGTAACTTGAGACTTAAAGTTCTTCATCATGATCTGCTCAAGATCAGTGCAGTCAAGAAGGCTGACCTTGTTTCCTTGTGTGACCAGAATGTCATACCTCTTGCATACCAGGCATTCTACAGAGCTTTGCCAGCCTCTGATGATGAAGACTTGGAGACATTCCCAGAAGAATGATCTGTTATTTCGTTGTTATGAGGAACTCATGAAAAGTATAGTTTCTTGAGGTGCATCACATGTTGTTTCCTTGTTGCGAAGAATAATATTTTAATAAGTTTTCAAGTAGTCTGAAATACCAATTGCATTATTCACTTTGTCAGTTTATTGTGGAAGATTTAGTAGTTGGAGGTATTGTAATGAATTCACCAATTATTATTGTTAAGTTTGTCTGCTGTGTCTGTTGTATTGATCATTGCATAAATCAACATAAAAAAAAGCATTATTGAAGTAATGACAAATCACCATACACTAAGACACTGACACAGTGCTCTGTTACAAGATGTGTAAATGGGTTATGTTATAACTTTAATCTGATCGAAGTACAAACATTGTACAATAATTGTATTCACTGGCCAATCATTACATAAAAGCAACTTAAAACAAATAATCGGTGAATTCATTACAATACCTCCAATTACTAAATCTTCCACAATAAACTGACAAAGTGAATAATGCAATTGGTATTTCAGACTACTTGAAAACTTATTAAAATATTCTTCCATTGCATATATTGAAATAATAGCAGAAGATGAAAATGATTATTCCATGAAAAGGAACTTGGGATTTACGGACAAGGAAATCTAGAGCGTTGTAACAGGAAGGAATTTGAAAATGGGATAAAGTCAAAATTGAAATCGGTGTAATTTTATTTTTTACGTTTTTTTTTCTCCAGTCTTCTGTTTCATTCACAGGATATTCACTGCCTGTAATATGTGACGGTCTTGAGGTGAGTAAAAAAGAAAGTTGATGCTTTAACTTAGACACTTGACTTGATCAAATGTCATGGTTTGAGTCTTAAGCAAAACATTGCTTTATTTGAACAATAAAGCTGCCAACAGTTCTGAACTTAAGCTCTGTTAAGCCGTTCGTGATCAATGATGAACACAAAAGCTCTTTTTAAAGCTGTATGTACAATGATGTACACATAAACTCTTTTTGAAAGCACAGATATGTTCTGTTCTCATGGTTTTGTACACAAAAGCTCTTTTCAGAGCTACGTACATGTTCAGTAATAAACAAAAGCTCATGTTAGAGCTAGAACGTGCTCATCACAGAATACACAAAGTTCTTTTAAGAGCTACCATATTGTACTTTCTGCCATGAACGTGTGCTACAGTTTCACTTATTGGCATACTTTTTTAAAAATTTGCCTTTGATAATGCTGAAATATTGTTCAGGTATTTTCTCTTTTGATAACTTACTGCACAGTACGTTAACTGCAGAATACACAAAGTTCTTTTAAGAGCTACCATATTGTACTTTCTGCCATGAACGTGTGCTACAGTTTCACTTATTGGCATACTTTTTTTTTATATTGCCTTTGATAATGCTGAAATATTGTTCAAGTATTTTCTCTTTTGTTAACTTACTGCACAGTACGTTAACTGCAGAATACACAAAGTTCTTTTAAGAGCTACCATATTGTACTTTCTGCCATGAACGTGTGCTACAGTTTCACTTATTGTCATACTTTTTTTTTATATTGCCTTTGATAATGCTGAAATATTGTTCAAGTATTTTCTCTTTTGTTTACTTACTGCACAGTACGTTAACTGCAGAATACACAAAGTTCTTTTAAGAGCTACCATGTTGTACTTGCTGCCATAAACGTGTGCTACAGTTTCACTTATTGTCATACTTTTTTTAAATTAACTTAATGCACAGTTATTGCGATTTCTACGTTTGCTTTATAGCTACTATTGTTGTATATACAGTGCGTCCCAGAAAAAACGAAACCGAGAATTATCGATGTTTTATCATAACTTAATCACATTTATACTTAATAAATGACTCATATTTGGAAAGCTTAGATCCTCCTCTTTCATTTGATGCAACTCATTATGATGCATATTTCATGCATGAGTGATTAAAATCAATTTGAAGAGAGGAGACCGAAAAGTCGTTTTGCGGGCGGTATCTGAATTTCAAAGAGAAAAATCACATTTCTAGAAAGTTGAGTTTCTGCCCTTTCATATGATACCTCTATGAGGAAAAATGAGCAAGGAATGACAAAGTTCTGTTTGTTTAAAGTAGCCCTTACATTTTCATAATTTTAGCAAACAAATACGGTTTCACTGGCTGCCTGCCGTAGCAAAAAGCAGAATTGACAAAAGATTTAACTCCGTTTCGTTGACAATCAGCCATGTATGAAGTCTTTCGTCTAAGGCTGATTGTCAACGAAACAGAGTTAAGTCTTTTGTTAATTTTGTTTGTTGATACGGCAGGCAGCCAGTGAAAAGGAATTTGTTTAATCAAATTATGGAAATGCAAGCACTACTTTAAACAAACAGAACTTTGTTATTCCTAGCTCCGATTTTCCTGATTGAGGTGTCATGTGAAAGGGCAGAAACTCAACTTTCTAGAAATGTGATTTTTTGTTAGAAATTCAGATATCGTCTGCCAAATGACTTTTTGTTTTCCTCTCTTCAAATTGATTTTAATCACTCATGCGTGAAATATGCTTTATTATGAGTTGCATCAGATGAAAGAGGAGGATCTAAGCTTCCCAAATATGTGTCATTTATCAATTATTATTGTGATTAAGTTATGATAAAACATCGATAATTCTCGGTTTCGTTTTATCTGGGACGCACTGTACAATGGCAAACAAGAAGAAAATTTGAATGAGTTGAATATTAAGTATTCTGAACATGAACTGTAAAAAGCTCATTCAAATTATTATGCATTGAATATAATCCAGCAGTATTGTAGTATATGAATAACAAAAAGCTCATTTTAGAGCTAGAACAGGTTCAACGCAGAATACAAAAAGATCTTTTAAGAGCTACCATATTGTATTTTCTGCCATGAACGTGTGCTACAGTTTCACTTGTTGTCGTACTATTTTATTTTATTTTATTTGCAGTAAGTTTACAAAAGAGAAAATACTTGTACAATATTC